TACGCAATAAAATAATAAAAGTGGGCAAAAATTTCGCCTCCCATGACTCTGACCCTAACAAACAGAAGAAAGGGAGGTTTAACCAACCGTAAAAAGGTTTGTGTTTCAAAGGCTGGAAGGTGTTAATGAAGAGTTTTTCTTTGTCAAATGTGTATCTCATCCAGTAAAAGAAGTACCGTCTGACAAATGGCAGTGCATCGAAGATCTGAACACGGAAAGTTATGATCTACCAATTTAGAAGGTGGGAACCTTACAACAATACTGGATGACTCTCACATTCACGATTCGCTCAACGTATCAGATGGACAATTACTCAAATGTACCTGATCCAAAATCCTAAGTTCTCCAAATATTTTGGTTTTTAGTATATTTTCTCATAGTTGAAAACTACATATGAGATAATTGTATGTATATGAACTTTTTAGGCACACTCCGAGAGCCTATGAAAATGAGGTTATTTTTATAACGATTCGATCAAAGCTTGTTTATATCTACAAAAACTTCGTCGTAAGGGTTACTATTCCGGCAGGAATTGTAATTACAACTAAAAGAAGCTGAAGTTTTACTTTCTGGACACGAGTGGAACAGAAGAGGGCACGGATGAAAACAGTGATTTAAGTAGCTTCTGGTCCCAATGGAGTTTCGGCCGCAAAAGTAATCACTCTCTTTTGATTCCACTAAAGTAGGTGCTGTCCTATACGATAGCTCGTAGAGCAAGTATTGTCAATGGGTGTTCTTGGACCGATTCAATCAAAAGTCAGTACTTAAGGAGCAGTTGCAATAGGTGGGCGGAACCAAATGCTAGCCAGCGATGCTTGTGAAGATTACCTTTATGAAAACCTGCAAATTCTTGTAAATGACCAAGTGCGCACAAGTGTCATATGGTGAGACCTGTTAGTTAATATGAACAGCAAGCGCATGATGCCCCCCCAATGCAAACTGCGCCAGACACAAAATATCTGTGAGACTCGACAGGTCAAAAAATCCCAAGTTCTTCTTTATTTCGTTCTGTACAATCGAAAATTTTCTTTTGAAGCGTTCGAAGCCCTTCCTGCGTTGTGTGACATCTAAGCCGCTCAACGTGCTGAATATTGAATCTAAATCAAATTCAGGAGCACGGGTGCTTAGGCGGAGGCAGGAGGTGGTTTTTTTTGCAGAGGAAAATCAATAGCTCTTATGGTTCCTTCATACGAAAACTGGTTGATCCAATGAGGCTATTGCCCATCATAATGTCACATCTAAGCCACTAAAGAGCCATCTCAAAGCCCAGTGACGCTTGGTCAGGGAAATGGTACCATCACGTCACTTTATTTAACAAGCAACAAAAAAATGTGGGAAGGAATTTCGCCACCTTACTAAGAAAAACGTCAATGTCGGGCAATTACACACTTTATTCTTTGTTGCGGTTTGATAAATCCCCATATCGGTCTGAAGGGGGGGGGAGGAGGGTAGGATGATGGAGTTTCAACTTCGTATTCTGAGCAATTTAGTAAATATGTTCTGAGCAATGGAACCTTGATGTATAAAAACGCATTGGTTGCGTTTCTTTAAAAAAATAAATTCTATTAGTGTCCCGGTTCTCTCAAATCTTTCCATTAGCAAATCTCGATTCGCTCATGAGCACTACACAAACTAAAATGGGAGGGCCTGCGGGCACCAATTTTCGCCGTGTATCACGTAGATGGTCACTTGCGGGTTATTGGAAGAATATCGCCGGACTCGCTTTCAAACCTCTACCTTTGGGGCTCTTTAATTAGCAAA